ACAAAACAAAATTAACCAAAAAAGTATTGCTTGTAAGCCTTGTATCATTGAAAATATATAGGTTGTTCCTCGTAGATCTTCCAATAAAATAAGAAAAGTTAACATTAATAGAAAAATTCCAATTAAGGCTTAAGTATCCATAATGAGTATTTGATGGGAAAGGCAAACTAAGTGCAAGGGCTAATTAGCATATCAAAAGAAGTTCAAGGACTAATTGAAGGACTACCCAAAACAAAAAGTGGAAACTTTGCAGAGGGAGACGGGGACACGCCGACCACCACCGCACCAAATTAGTTGCGGTTGCGTCTCATTACATTTGAAGCCTAAGAAACCGCCGACCCAACTCTTACTTGTCGGCAACCACACGAGAGTGTCTGTCTCCCTGTTGGATTTAGTACCAGAAAGTATTGAACTTTTCAGTCCTTGAAGACTGCGACGACGACGACTGCAACGCGGCCGGCGATGTCAAACTATGAATCAAGCTGATAGTGAGAAGCACAATTGAAGATCAGAACCCCCACGAATTCAGCAGCGGAGATAAGCTGAATTTAAGGCATCCCCAGAAGATCAAATGTTGGTCCAGGATCGGGCAGTGCCAAAATCACCGAAATCGCCGAAATCCCAGATCAGAGCTCTCCCAACGCTGCACCGGAACCACCACCGTTTCTCCGAGGCCAAAAGCCTTGACTTTTCGACATGGGTTGCTGATAATTTCTACAAAATTGTTACAATATGTATCCTAATATTCACCGTTGCAGCAGTCTTCTTCCTCTACAACTCCACCGAGACAGCTTCTTTTCTCCGGCTCCAGTCCAAGACGCAGCAGTCTCTTGATTCCATCTCTCTCCCTCAAATGAAGTGGAATTCGATCGCGACCATTAGTGATAAGTCGTCTCCTTACGCCAATTTTCGATCAGAGCAATGGATTGTAGTGTCTGTGTTGGATTATCCGTCTGATTCGTTGAAGAAGATGCTCAAGATTAGAGGGTGGCAGATGTTGGCAATTGGGAATTCCAGGACGCCCAAGGATTGGAGCTTGAAAGGTGCCATTTTTTTGTCCTTAGATGAGCAAGCTAATTTGTGGTTCCGTGTTGTGGATTAGTCGCCGTATGATTCTTATGTTAGGAAGAGTGTGGATTATTTGTTTGCTATCCAACATGGTGCAAAAAAGATCTTTGATTGTGATGATCGTGGGGAGGTGACACTACAGAAAAAATGATTTTTAGTGACAGAAATTTATGATGAATTTTAAAATTATCACCATAATTTATCATAATTGTGATAGATATAAAAAATTAGTCATAGATACATATATATTTAATGATGAACCAAAAAATTCATCATAAAAAATATATTTCGTCACTGAAAAATGTTCGTAGAGATAAAATAAACTTTTGTCGATAAAAAATTATCACTATAATGCATTACAATTATGACAAAATTCTAATATTGGTCACATATACCTTACACATTCAATGATAACCAAATAATTTATCACTAAAAAATATATTTCGTCACTAAAAA